AAATGGAGAAAAAAAAGAACTTTACTTATAAATTCGATCTAATAATTTCTGATTGGCAGTGTTAATAACAGACTTAAAATATCAAAACATGAAAGTATATTGTTTAATTTTGTGGAGAAGAGCTGATAACTAGACATGAGTATATCCCTTTAATAAATCCTACTTATTCCTTTAACAATTGATAATCAATAATCAAATTTATTAATCATTTCAAAAATTTCAAATCTCTGACAAATAGGTATATCAGGCCTTCACTTAATAGATTCTCTCTTCTAATGACTCAATAGTAGTCACTTTATTGTTTTCAACTAAACATTTACCATAAAAGTATTAGATCTGAGCTTTATCTGGTAAGTAGAAATAAACAGCATTTAAATCTTGATTATGAATTTAGCAAATTTCTTCCTAAACTTATTTTTGATTAAGAATTTTCATATTAATTTTTATAATAAATTAATTAATGTAATTATATATTATTTAATCACCCTTTAGTTGTCATTGTTATAATTTCATTCTAATTCAATCCTTTAATAAACATAAAATAAGATTTATCTAAATTTCTTTTATATTACACACTTTAAATTAAAAATAATAACTGCCTATGATCTAATTTAAAAGAAAAGATCTCATAAAAATATATTCTATAACTCTTATGATATTGATAATAAGTTACAGATTTTTTTGAATTTCAAATTCTATATACTGAATCAAAAGGTGAAAAAAATTTTGGCTCCATTATCTTTTCGAAAAATTTGTATTTGGATAATTTCTTAAGTCTTTAAATTTGTAATTTGATATAACGCTTAATTGTTAAAAAGATAATATTTTTTCATTATGATGAGATGAGATACTGTTTTTTATATTGAAAACTAAAAACCTGATTGTATTCATTGAAAATATTAATATGAAATTTGATTATTTAATTAACGATTTTGCAATTTTAGATTGGACTAAAAAAAAGAATCATTCATTCCGTAATTTACATGAATAACTATCATCAAATATTTATTATGAGACGGACATAATCAAAAGACCTAAATAGTAACGGTAATCATCAATCATATCCTTAAGTTATAATTCAGTTCAGAAATAATATTTATTGTAATTATATTTTGTGATTCTAAATTTGAGTAGTCAATAGAATTCTTAGATAAATCAATTTAATTATATCCTAATAATTATTAGTCTTTATGGTTCAAAAGTAATGATAATGAATTATATAAAGGTGCCTCCTTCTGAAGCTAATTTTTCTTTAAATTAGATATAAGGTTGCTAGATAATTACGAGGATGATTTAATTTGGTTGCATATTACAAAAGTTATTCAATCGATTTTTTTTTTAATTTTTTATAACTTAAATCAATAATATTTTAACTGATATACAAGATTTATAGAGATATCAATAGGTTATGATTTATTATGAAAAATCTTTAAAATTAAAACCTTAAAGGTTATTCCTAATTTGTTAATAGTTGAATTAATGAGTATTCAAATAATATTTATTTAATTGATTATATAATTGATTTGGAATTTAAACTGTGCTGATTTTATTATTTAGATTTTTAGTTAAAAATTATTATCATTTATATTTGTTAATAAATATTATAAACTAATTAATTTTAATTAAATTTAAATTCAATAATGTAATAAAATTATAACTAATTTATCATTAATACTTGGATTTCTTATAAAGAGTTTT